TGTTTTTTCATTTTGCTATTTACTGTTTGTTCTTTTAGTAATCTTTGAAATTTTAATCTTTTAGTAATCTTTGAAATTTTACCATGGTTACTTAACTTGAGAAAGCTTCAAGGTAATCAATATATTAACTCCTCTTCTCCCAAAATAGAAGTACCTTAGAACAATTTTATTTCAATTGTCCTCTCCCCAGATTGTATTGATTTGTTTTTAACAGGATAACTTTGGCTTCCGTGTGGAGAATGGAGGCGGGAAGAGCAAATGTGAATGTGATGAAACCAGTCAGGAGGTATTGGCACAAGTCCAGGCAAATGATGATGGCACCTCAGATTGATGGATTGGGTGCAGTAAGACAATTAGCGGCAATTGCTTCCCAGCATAAGATAGAACCAGGGTACTGTTTCATGCTATGTAGCTGACTTCAGTGTTACCATAAATAATAGCTATTAATATTATTAATTGAAGGTCTCTATGGGCCATGGAATAGGACTTAAGATGCAATTCTCCTTTAATTCTCACAAGAATCCTGTAAGATAGATTTTTTTGCTTTACCCAGAGACCCAAGATTGCAGACTAAGTGCTCGGCTACATTAGGAAGACAAGAAGTCGGACCACAGTGTGGACAGCTGAGCCAAGCGTCTATGATTCAGAATAGGAACCAAATCATCTTCTTGAGAACCAGGGATCTAATATCACCTTGCTTTTGTTTGTTTGTTTATGTTTGGTTAGTGGGTTGTTGTTGTTGTCATTGTTTGGTTTTGGTTTCTTTGACTGCACCAGGATCTTAGTTCTCTGACCAAGGATTGAACCCTGGCCCTCAGCAGTGACAGCATGGAGCCCTAATCACCGGACTACCAGGCAAGTCCCTGCCTGTTTGTGTTATATTTCAAAGTAAGGTTAAATATCCTTGTCTTTCCATTCTTGAAACTACAAAGCATGTTGTGGAATTGGAATAATGGTAAAAATAGAGACTTTTCTTTCTGGCATGTTAGGGTAGAAAGATAAATATTCAATTTTTCTGTGAATATACTCCATTCTTTTATAAACATATACAGTGTCTATTTTGCATTTCATGATTACAACTCTAAGTTAATAGCTATTGAAGACTCTCCTTTGTAATAAAAGGGTGGAAGATTTGAAAAGATGTCCCACATTAAACAGTTTTGTCAGTAAATATTAAGAATGATGAAAAATGTTAGTGAGGTATTGATTATGGATAGTCCCAATTTATAAATAGGCAGTGTTCCCAAAATTGGTTTGAAATCTCATTTGCATATCCATATAAAACAATAATTATAGTCAGCATATAAAAGTGTCTGCTATGTATAGGGTGGTTTACTAGGAAATATGTTTTTCTAGTCTCCAGAAAATATTATAAACTATGTTAATTACTCCCAATTTATAGATAAGGAAACTGAAGCTGAAAGAGGTCAAATAACTTGCTGATGGTCATGCAGCTTACAAATAGCAGAGTTGGGATTTTAACCCAGGTCAACTCCAAGTCTTGCCCTCTTCACACCAAAAAGCTCAAAAAGGCTATTGAAGTCATAAATGCAGGCAGGCTTAATGTGTGAGATTTGTCTGTATATTTTCCTTTCATACTCCCTCCAAAGATACCCTATTGGGAATTAAATGTATTTCAGAAAAGAGGAAGGTAAATGAATTTTGGCAAAATAACTCAGAACTAGATCTCCCTGTCCTGTGTGACCATAGGATTATTTCTATACAAGACCAGGTCTAATTTATTTTTATACTTTCTATACTGACTTAGACATAATTGGGGTTCAATAAACATATAATGAAGGGAACTGAAATCCTGATGACCAACATGATAAGACCAGAAATATATTTTCCTAATAGACTGCACTGAAAATGTTTGAGGAGGACAGGATTACAAAGGTAGACAGCATTGTCATACGTGTGCAAGGCTGAATCTGCTGGTTTTACACTAAGTAGAGTATTTCCAGCTACTTCTTAAAATTACCAGCAATCTTAGATCTTTCTGCTGAAACGTAGGATGCCATTGCCTAAAGTCCAGGGAATCCCCTGGCTGACCAGTGGTTACGACTACACATTCTCACTGCCAAGGGCCCAGGTTCAATCCCTGGTGACAGAACGAGGGTCCCACAAGCTAAGTGATGTGGCCAAAAATAAATAAATAAATAAAGCCCAAACTGTTAATCATACCTTGGCTCACCAAGGTTCTCGGCAGAAGGAAGAGCATGTCCAAAGACTCCCAGGGTGAGAAGGATCTGTTCTGTGAACAGAGGAGGTCAGTGTGGCCTCTCAGCATTACTAATAATCAAAGAAAAGTGAGTCAAAATTTTAAAGGATTGATAAACCATTTTGGATGAAATGTTTGGAAAGTGGGAAAACATACCATGTTGGCAGGAGTGTAATAATTTTTCTGAAGGCAGGTTGGCAGCATGTATCAATTTTTGAAATGTGTGTAGTTTTGACTATCTAGTGCCTTGGTTCAGATTTTAATCAAAGACAAGAACCTCTCAAATGCACAAAGACCCAGGTACTCAAAACCACTCACTCTAATGTTATTTTTATTAGCAAATATTTGGAAACTATTTAAGCATTCAACCATAGGGAATCAGTGGATTAAATTACAAAATGAGATGGGCTTTAGAAATGAATCTGTAGAACTATATTTATCATTAAACAAAAAGAAAAAATTTTAACACCACATTTTTAAAATTTTATTTTGTTTTGGAGTATAGCTGATTAGGGAGTCCCCGGTGGCTCAGATGGTACAAAATCCACCTGCAATGCAGGAGACCTGGGTTTGATCCCTGGGTCGGGAAGATTCCCTGGAGAAGGGCATGCCTCCCCACTCCAGTATCTGGCCTGGGGAATTCCATAGTCAGGGAACAGCAGGCTGCAGTCCATTAGGTTGCAAAGGGCTGGACACGACTGAGCGACTAACACCTCCACCTTCAGCACTGCTGATTAACAGTGCTGTGATAGGCTCAGGTACTCGGCCATCCACTTCCATGGACCCACCCATTCTCCCCCACGCTCCCCGCCCACCCAGGGGCCACATGACATAGAGCAGAGGACCCTGAGCTGTCCTGTAGGTCCCTGTTGGTCATTCATCTGACATAGAGCAGTCAACACTACATTTACAAGGTAATCCCATTTTGTAAAGAATGTGGTGTGAATTTCCAGTCAAGAGAACACTGAAACTTCAGGATGATCTGAAACAACGAAGAAGTTGACAATTCAGGGAGGAAGAAATTGGATCCAGAGAGATACACAGGAAACATGTAAACTGAAAATTTTAATGATGAATTTGTATTCATAAGTTTTTTTTTTTTTTGTATTCATAAGTTAAAATGAAATTCCAAACAACAGTAACAGGAAAGATGAGAGAAGGTTTTCAGTGTGTGGTTAGAGCTGGCCAAGATCTTTATCCAGAGGAGTACGGAGGCAGCAGGAAGCTTGAGATGACTGGAGAAGCTTACTGCTGTTTTTTAAAAAAATTTAGATGAAATAATGGTGTAATAAGTTTTAATTAGATACAACAAAACCTGGTATGCACTGAAAAAACTTCATCAGTTCCACAGTATGGTATTTTGTATTATTGTTGTTTAGTTGCCAAGTCACGTCCAACTCTTTTGTAACTCCGTGTACTATAGCCTGCCAGGCTCCCTGTCCATGGAATTTCCCAGGCAAGTTCCTCAAACTTCTGGATGTGTAGTGAAATGAGACAGAAATGTGATTTAGGGTCTCACCAGGTGCTTATCTTGGTGGGGCTAGTGTACTTCAAGTCCTAACCTTGACTCTGTACATCAATAAACATGATTTTCCTCAGTTTACCCTGAGATCAGAGCTTCTCAAGTGGTGCAAGTGGTAAAGAAACCACCTGGCAATGCAGGGGATGCTAGAGACCCGGGTTCGATTCCTGGGTCGGAAATATCTCCTGGAGGAGGGCACGGCAACCCACTCTAGTATTCTTACCTGAAAAATTCCATGAACAGAGGAGCCTGGTGGGCTATACAGTCCATAGGGTTGCAAAGAGTCTGACATGACTGAAGCAACTTGGCACGCACGCACCCTAAGGTGAGGATCAGGTTTAAAACTCCTGAGTCACACCAACCCAGCAGAGAAGAGGAAAGCATTCGTTAAAGAAACATACAACCTTTCCACTTAGACAGCCAGCTCTGCTTTCATAGGTTACAGCCCTGGGAAACCAGATTATAATCAAAGGGTTATTTAGTCACTGTGAAATTTTTGTTCTTTGGCCAGGCAGCAGGACTTGTAGGATTTTAGTTCCGTCGACCAGGAGTGGAAGCCATGGCCCCCTGAAGTGGAAGCACAGGCTTCTAACCACTGGACCACCAGGGGATTCTTGAGCCAGGGATATTCTTAACAGTCAGTGTTATTGCATTGTGTTAGGTTAATGTATCCATTTCAAATAGAATTAGTTAAATTCAGTGATTGCTGAGCACCCTCCAAAACCCCACAAGGAAGACCCAGCGATCGTGATGGGCTGTTTGTGCAGCCTCTTCCCTGAGAGCCCTGGAGATTTGATGACAGATACTCCATCTCTGCCTCTCCACTCTCCAACCTTCCTGGTGCCACACCTCTGGTGGTCCTTTCCTTGGACCAGCCAGAGTGCAGGATGTTAGTTCAAAACTTTCTTGATGCTATTGCTTTCCATGTAACATGTGTTCACATCACCCAAACAGAACCTATGCCCCCAGTTCTTTTTCCACACTTCACACGCACTTAGATTACTAGCACAGTGGTAATTTTATTCATTAGTTGATGCTTACTAGATTTATTCCTTTAAATAAAACAATTATTCTTTTTAAACATCAACTTTTTTTTTCTTTCTTTTTTTTCATTTATTTTTATTAGTTGGAGGCTAATTACTTTACAACATTGCAGTGGTTTTTGCCATACATTGAAATGAATTAGCCATGGATTTACATGTATTCCCCATCCCGGCCCCCCCTCCCACTTCCCTCTCCACCCGATCCCTCTGGGTCTTCTCATAAACATCAACTTTTTAATATACATAATACATGCACATTTGTATGAAATGCAACAAAACAAAAGGATGCACAGTGAAACCTCCACTTCCTTTCCTCCTTTGTCACCTATTTATTAATTTATTTTTCATCTTCTTCCAGTAGTCTTCCTGCTGCCAAAAGCTGAGGAATTGCTTAGAAAACACATTCCAGGTTAGGTTCTTCTCATACGTGTTCTCCCAGCAATTCATTCTTGCTCACTTGTTTGTCTCTGTTTATAGATTATCAGCTTCTTAATGGATGGGATATTCTTTACCTTGTTTAATTCCCAGCACCTAGCACAATAAATATACCTTAGTACATGGTACAATAAATATTTGTTGAATGAGTATATATTATCAGTAACTGACATTTACTAAATGGCTAGGATAAATTGGAATAAGATATTGTACTAAGATCATTATTTATAGCAGAAGACAGATACACCTTACCCATATTCCCCATGCCTTTGCTATTTGGGTACATACAGGGTCAACTTTCAAATGTGTTTTTTTGCCTGAGAGCTTTCTCTGATCATTCAAGCCCAAGATGTAAGGGATTAATGATCCCCTCCCACTACCACCAGTGCGTGGGTGCTAAGTGGCTTTAGTCATTTCCAGCTCTTTGTGACGCCATGGACTGTAGCCCAGCAGGCCCCTCTGTCCATGGATTCTCCAGGCAGGAATACTGGAGTGGGCTGCCATTTCCTTCTCCAGGGGATCTTCCTGACCCGGGGATTGTACCCTGTCTCTTTATGTGTCCTGTGTTGGCAGGCAGGTTCTTTACTGCTAGTGCCAACTGAGAACCCTACTACCACCAGTAGCACTCAACCAATGACTGACGGGAGGTGGAGTGAAATACCCAATTCCTTTGCCCTTGGGTGGGATAACCCTGAGGTTTGTGTCCTACATTTGCTTCCAGGACTTCAAAGCAAGGTTAAGCCCCAGTGACCTATAATGATAACCTGTACGAAAATGTACCAAGCTGATACCAGTGATGTTGATATTCGCATTGTTGTCTCTAATTGGTCTAACTTGTATCATGTGACTGATATTAGTTTCTGAACTAATCACCATCCCTGGTCTGGTTGATCAGACTTGGGTCACATGTCCACCCTTAGAATAAATTTCACCAGAATCACAAAAGATTGAGGATGAGAAAGAGAAAGAAATCAGAGGCCGTTTCCAGAAAATATTGTGATTAGATGTGGAACAGTTAAAGAGCAACTGTGTTCCATTACAGACAGAGGACTGAGATTCACTGAAAAAGAAAAAAGTTTTTTTTCATTAAGATTTATAGCTAGTCTGAATTATTTATCAGGTCTTCTAAGGAAAATAATATTTCTCTATTTTAAACTTTCCCATAGAGCATAAAATGAAAGATTTCTTTTTTAAATAAGATAGATACTTTTCTTTGGTGTGAGTGTGATAATATTCACCCTCAGTGAGGCCATAGGCCAAGCAGTTGGCTTTTACAAACATATTGAAGTATTATTCACCTCTGCAAATATACCTGAGTGGACAGAATTTTTCGAGACAATATTTAAAGGAGTTTCATAAAGAGAGAACTATTTTGAGCATCTGAATGCAGAAAGTTTGAGGTGTCAGCAATCCAACATACTTGAAGTTTCTCACATTAGAAGGCCTTAAACTGAGATTTCCTCCCTAAAGTGTCTTGTTTTTGCTGTTAGTAAATTCTTCAAATCTAAAGGATTAAGTTTCTCACTGATCATTCCGATTCTTTTATTCTACCTCCCACTGTCGTAGAAATACTAAATTTCTCATCAATTCATTATGTTCAAGCACAGGAATAATCATGCTACCCATCTTCAGTGTACAGCCTAAATAGTTAAGGAATCACTGGTCCTGTGGAATGGATGTGGAACTCAATCTTATCTAGAGGTTGTGCATGCTCAGTCATGCCTGACTCTTTGAGACCCCATGGATTGTAGACTGCCTGGCTCCTCTGTCCATGGAGTTCTCTAGGCAAGAATACTGGCGTGGGTTGCCATTTTCCTACTCCAGGGGATTGAACCTGCCTCTCCCGCGTCTCCTGTACTGGCAGGCAGGTTCTTTACCACTAGCGCCACCTGGGAAACAATATGTGTAGGCAATTTGACATTTTCCATGTACAGAAATCCTGCCCTTTCTTTCCAGTGCTGGCTTGGATATTTGCGGCCCCAGGGTGACTGACTGAAGCACAGTTCAGGTCTGCTTGACTTTTAGTTATAGCGATATAAAGGCAAGTTTCTTTTCAATAGAAAGAAAAGACTTCGTGGGGACAGTAATTGCTGGAATGAATTTTCAGCTTGACATCTGTTCCAGACTCACCTGCAGCTGTTGCTTACCTACTTAGAGGCAGCTGGTGACGGGACAAAGCCCAAGATGTGTGAGAGAAGGAGCTGGGAAAACTAAACCTTTCTATGTCGCCGCCCCCTGAGCCCCAGGCTGAGTTACACCGGGATCACACAATCATTCTTTCTACAGAGTGTCCTCAATTTGGGCTGCACGTTGGAATCACCTGGAAGCTTTAAAAATTCTGACGTCCAATCTACACCCTAGACCTCTAAGAATCTCTAACAGTGCAATCCAAGCATTAATAGTTTGTAAACCGCCCAGGGTGGTTACAATGTATAGTTAAGCGCTGAGAACCATTGCCTAGAACCCTAGGATTGTTGTTGCTCCATTCCCGGTGGAAGTTAGAAAGAATGGAGAATGAAGGTAAAAAGAATAGAGGAATCTGGGAAAAGACAAGGGGCCGGGGGTAAAGAAAGGCTGCATTTGTAAAGATTTGACCATCAAGGAACTTCCCTGGTGGTCCAGTGTTTAAGACTCCACAGTCCCAGTGCAGGCGGCCCTGGGTTTGATCCCTGGATGGGGAACCAGATCTCTCACGTTGCAACTGAAAATCCCACATGCCACAATTAAGAGCTGGTGCAACCAGATACATAAATGAATTATTTTTAAAAATACTTTAAAAAAAAGACTTGATTGTCATGGAGAAGATACATACTTCTGGAAAAACATTGAAGTTAAGATTTGGGGAAAATAGAGGAAAAAAGTCTCACAATTAGAAAAAACCAAGATATGTTTCAAGCTTGGAAAGAAGCAGCCCATGGGAAGCATGACTCCAGGCTCTATTCTAATACTGACAGTGAGGGGTACTCAGCCAGCATCTTTCTTTGGAAAGGTCTTTATATTACCAACTCATCATCTGCCTTCTTTCTAAATTATATCCATGTTTCCAGTTCTGCTCTTTAAATGATTCAGGATAAATCCAATTCTCTTCTGTCCAGCAGCTCTTTGTACGGAAGGTAACTCTCTCCTACCCCTACATACATACCCCCTGCATGCTAATTAGTGCTAATATTAAAACATCAACTCAGATGTTTAAAAAGCCCTTCATATCCATTGTTATTTGGTCCTCACCATGCGCTACAAAGTAAGCATTGCTTAATTTTTCCAATTTACACATCATAAATGCAAAGTTCAGAGAGCATAGTGCTTGGCTAAAATCACATAAACAAATGCCAGAGTCACGACTTGAACCCAGACCTTCTGACCCTAGATGTGTGTCTTTTCCACCATATTTGTTATAGATTCTAGTCTTTGGTTAACACATCTAGGATGTCATCAGGGGTTCTTTTTTTCCCCTCAGTTTTTTTATATAAGTTTAATTGAGATATAATTTGTATACCGTGAACCTCACCTTTTAAAAATTTACAATTCCGTGGTTTTAGTATATTCACAGAGTTGTGCAACTATAGCAAAAATCTAATTTTAGAACATTTTCATCACTCCCCCAAAGAAACTACATGTCCCTTAAAAGTTACTCTCTATTACCTCTTCCCTCCAGCTCCTAGAAAGAATGTGGTTTATCCATATAATGGAAGATTATTCAGCTATAAAAATGGATGAAGTATTGACACATACTATAACATGAATGAACTTTGAAACATCATAGGGGGTAAAACAAGCCAGATACAAAAGATCACAAACTGTATGATCCCATTGATATGGAATGCCAAGAATAGGCAAATCCATAGAACCATTAGCATGTTTTTAATTGTGAGAAAAAACACGTAACATAAAATTTACCATTATAACCAGTTTTAAGTGTATAGTTGAGTGTTATTAATTTCATTCACATTACTGTTCAATCATCACCATTATCCATCTCCAGAACTTTTTCATCATCCCCAAGTAAAACACTTTACTCTTTAAATCATGACTTCCCAGTCTCCCTCCCCCAGTCCCTGGCAACCACCCTTCTGCTTTGAGTCTATGAATTCAGCTCCTCTAAGCCTCTCATGTAAGTGGAGTTGTACAGTGTTTGTTCTTAGCTGTCTGGCTTACTTCATTTGCCAGATAACATAAGATACTACCATGTTGTAGCACGTGTCAGAATTTCCTTCCTTTTTTAAAAGCTATGTAATATTCCACTGTACGTATATACCACACTTTATTTACCCATTAATCTATCAATGGACATTTGCATTGCTTCCACCTTAGGCTATGGTGAATAATGCTGCCATGAACTTGAGTATGCTGCTGCTGCTAAGTCACTTCAGTCGTGTCCAATTCTGGGCAACCCCATAGACGGCAGCCCACCAGGCTCCCCTGTCCCTGAGATTCTCCAGGCAAGAACACTGGAGTGGGGTGCCATTGCCTTCTCCGTAACTTGAGTATACAGAGCGTAAAACTATCTCTGAGATCCTGCTTTCAGTTCTTTCAGGTGTTTATCCAGAAAGGAATTGCTGGCACATATGGCAATCTGTGATTACCTGCAGATACAATCACTGTGGATGGTGATGGCAGCCACGAAATTAAAAGACACTTGCTCCTTGGAAGGAAAGTTATGACCAACCTAGACAGCATATTAAAAAGCAGAGACATTACTTGGCCAACAAAGGTCCGTCTAGTCAAGGCTATGGTTTTTCCAGTGGTCATATATGGATGTGAGAATTGGACTATAAAGAAAGCTGAGCGCTGGAGAATTGATGCTTTTGACCTATGGTGTTGGAGAAGACTCTTGAGAGTCCCTTGGACTGCAAGGAGATCCAACCAGTCTATCATAAATGCAGTCAGTCCTGAATATCCATTGGAATGACTGATGCTGAAGCTGAAACTCCAATACTTTGGCCACCTGATGCAGAGAGCTGACTGATTTGAAAAGACCCTAATGCTGGGAAAGATTGAGGGCAGGAGGAGAAGGGGACGACAGAGGATGAGATGGTTGGATGGCATCACCGACTCGATGGATGTGGGTTTGGGTGGACTCCGGGAGTTGGTGATGG